AAAAAGGAGCCCCCCCCCCCCCCCCCCTCCCCCCCAACACGCCTGAGCCCCTTACAACACCGCGACCAAAATATGTATCCCCCGAATAAATCGAGCAACAGCAGCATCACCGCACCTTGTCGTTGAACTCCTCTACGGTGTACAAGGGTAGCGCCTCCGTCCTAGGCACGAGCCGGTCCTCCACTTTTTCGCCGTCGTCCCCCTTCTCTCCCGTGTACTCCTCGTTGATGAGCTCGACGCACCCGCACAGGTTGGCCGCGCCCTTGCGGAAGTACCTGATATCACCATAAAGAAGGATGATAGAGAAAAAAAAAAAGGAAGAACAGGACAATGAATAAAGGATGGAAAGGAACAATACGCAAAAAAAAAAAAACAGTACTCAGGAGTATGTAGTGGTAGAGATTGTTACCAAAAAACAAATAAAGGGAAACAAAAACGAAGCGTACACGAGCTTCACAAGACACAAGCAAACAAACGGAGCTCGCTCTCCAAACGTTGCAGCGCAAAATACGGCAGCGGTGATTTCGACGAGGGTTAGCATTTTTTTTTAAATGTATTCCTTCCTTTCTTGAGGGGAGATAAAAGCAGCAATCGTGCTACGCTAGCCTACCGCAACGTTGCGAGTCAGCGCACAGGGGTGCGAGCGATTTTCTAAGCGTAATTTCTCCACAACCAGGAGGTTACCACTGTCGAAAATGGTGGTTTTGGAAATATCTCATCGAGAGCTTTCCTGAGAAGTATCAGTTGGCGCTCGCACCCTTCTGGCTGTGGAGAAAGTAAACTTTGAAAATCGATCGCACCCCTGTGCGCTGACTCGCAACCTTACGATACTACGCGTTTTCCCTCTCTTCCGGAGCTCCTTGGTCGCTGCTCTGGTCGAGCCAAGGCCAGAAAGAACGTCGCCTGTCCCGGAGCCCCCCCCTCTCCCCTTCGTGGGGGCTCTTCCAAAGCTTCATAGATGTAAGCTTCGGCTTTCGCTTTCGAAAATCCCTACATACAGTACTCACATACCAGTATCTAGCACCTTGGTTGTTTCGGCGAGCAGCATAATGGGCGACGACGACGGAGGCAAATCCGCCGCCTCACAAGAAGCGTGTCCATGTATAGATCGCGTCACTGCCAAAACGCGGGTTTTGCGCTAAGACGCAGTCAAGCTAACGCCGGTAACAAGAACGACTACGGTTGCAACTACGACTACGACTACGACAAGGACAACGGCCATGACGAGAACGGCGGCGCCAACATCACACCAATACCAAGACGCCAACAACAACAGCAGCAGCAACATCACCACCACCACCACCAACAACAACAACAACAGCAACATCACCACCACCACCACCGACAGCAGCAACAACAACACCTACACCACGAATAGCAGCAACAGCTCGTACCGTACCTGCGATACTGCTTCCGAGTCTCCAAGACCAAGAAGCCCAAGCCGACTAACGCGAACCATATCGGGAAGCCGACATCCCTGAACACGCCGAAGCTCCCGATCTGCTCCGAACGCCAACAACAAAGCGCGTCGTACGTAACGCCAGTTCCGTGTCAGCAGCAGCAGGTTGTTGAGGTGATGTCGAGCTTGCGAAGACAAGGCAAAAACGAAATCCCCAGCGGCCATGTCCACACACTCCGCACGTACAAAACACACGAACAGCAGCACGCGGACGCATCCCACTGGGGCCATATCCACATGACGGAACATTACAAAAAACACACGGCGAAACAAGGCATCCCACAGGGGCTATCTCGCCTCGAGGTCCAAGCCGTCTCCCGCGGACAGCACGAGGTTGTCGTCGCTCGACACCAGCTCCAGCCCCCGGTAGCACTGCACCACGCCGGCCAGGTAGGCGAAGCGCCCGGCCCAGATGTGGAAGTGCTTGTTGAACTGCCGGGGGGGGGGGGGGGGGGGGGGGGGGGGGGAAAAAAAAAAAAAAAAATTTTTTGGTTTTTCTGTCCGGGGGCCAAACCTCCCTTGGGACCCTTTTTGGGGGGGCCTTTGGGGTCTTTTTCTCACACACCGGGGG